AAAGTAAATTAATTTAGTTCCTATTTACTGATGTAAACATTAAACCAAGAAAACAAATAAATAGTAGTGCAACAAGGGTGAATATGGACAATCCACTCGAGTTGTACAGTATATTTTTTCTACGACCCACTGACGAAAATCTACAAATTAAAATAAATTATTTTAGGTTATTTAGACAAAATAATTAATTTTAAAATAATTTACGAATTTTACTAATTTATAAAATAAACATAAAAAAAATTAATTTAATTAGTCCCCGGCCTAGATTTGATCCCGGGTTTTTCTCGTGGAAGGCAGGTGATCTGTCCTCATCTTCACCGACACTTTTAGGATTTTAGTTTTAATACTCGTAATTAAATGACATTCACACAGCTTGTAACTTTTATATAGATCGTCCAATTTCTCCAAAAGGTCTTCCCGATTGGCTTTCATTGCCCATATCCTAGCCCTGAAAAAAATCATGTGTTGAGGTTTAAATAAGTTAATTATTAGACTATCATCTACACAATTAAACAAATTTAGAATTCCTAGCTCAATAGGTAACTTTAGCACCTAGGAGGAATTAATAAAAATAAAAACAGCCTAAACCCAACGTAAGTCAATAAACGAATGTGTTTATACAGGGCGTAATTCCATATTTTAATTTGTTATATTCGTTTTTTGCCTGGTAAATAAAAATTTGTTTGTTTTAATAGAACATACTATATTTTATTTTTAGAATAGCTTGTTAACACTATATTCAACCCTAGCATGTTTTGAAAAAATATTAGTTTTGTCAAACAATAATTTTTTTTAAATTAGAGAATGATGCTAACCCCAAATTAAATTATCATAATTTAGGTAGGTTTCCACTGATTAAAAAATTGTTAAATAAACATACTTATATGATACCTACTAAGCTAACGAATAGTGGTGATAGAACTGGTTTATTTTATTAAAAGTGTTTTGAAACGTGCCTTAAATATGGCTAATTTTAAGTTCAATTTACTCAATTTTTTTAAATGTATATTATTTTGACATAAAATTCCTAATACATTTACCTATTCAACGATACCAACATGTTACCAATAACATATATACAGGGTGTCCCATTAGTGCGTAATGGATTGATAGCTGTTTTATTATCAGAAATACAAAAAAAAATAATATAAAAGTTGTATTGCCATATTTAACAATTACCCCTAAATATACAAGGTGGCCTATAAACGAGGTGCTGACCAAACCTATACTACTACAGGTAGTTATTCATATTTGATTATCACATCGTCAAACAATTTTAATTAATTTCACTCATTTGCTATGTTGTATATAAGGTGTGTCAAATCGTGAGGTTACGATTTTCTCTATTTTTTAAATGGATTACCCTGTATCAATTAGTCGGTGGTATAATTTATAGGGTATTCTATGTTTAAAAACGTGAGAAAACCGTTACTCCCCATTTTGACACACCCTATAGCAAATAAATGAAATCTATTAAAATGGTTTGACGATGTGAAAACTATCAAATATATATGACTACCTGCAAGGTGTTTTGCTTTAAAAATGTGTAAGTTTCATCAACTCCCCTCGTTTATGGAACATCCTGTATATTTAAGAATATTTATTAAACATGGTCATACAAATTTATATAATTTTTTTTTTCGTATTTCCACTAATAAAACAGCTATCGATCAATTACGCACTCATGGGATACAAAGTTTATGTGTTATTGGCTAATATTTTGGTATAGATTAATAAGCAAATTTATAAGGAATTTTAGGCCAAAATAATATGCAGGGTGTTTTGTTTGAAAAAATTGAGTAAATTGAACTTAAAATTAGCCATATTTTAGACATGTTTTAAAACACTCTGTATAAAATGAACCAGTTCTATCACCACTATTTGTTAGCTTAGTATTTTATAAGTCTGTATATTAAACAATTTTGAAATCAATGTAAACCTACCTAAATTACGATAATTTAATTTGGGGTCTGCATCATTCTCTAATTTAAAAAAAAAATTAATTGCTTGGCAACACTAATATTTTTTAATACATTTTAGAGTTAAATACAGTATTTCCAAACCATTCTTAAAATCAAATAAAATAAAATACAGGGTGTTCCATTTAAAAAACATACATTTTGATTTGCCAATTCAATATTTAAAAATATTTTTAAAATATGTATTTTTCAAATCCGTATAATTTTTATTTAAAACTTTTTTTGCGCGTCTACAACACAAATTCAAATATTGAACAATTACGCACTAATGGGACATCCTGTATAAATTATATTATTATTAATGAAAATTTCTTAGAATGTGGTACTTACCGGTTTGGGTCCTTGGGAAAACGAAAGAATGTTTTCTTGCAGGTATAACCCTTATTAAAACAGCTTTTGACTGCACAGACAGAATGATGTCTTTTTTTATCACTCATTCTACTCACAGTTAAAGAGTCACCAAAATAATAACAGTACCTTTAACTTAACACAACAGGCATCTCAAACAAAATCAACGAAATTATAGGCTCAATGAAATTATGCAATCAACGAAATTATACGCACGGCTCATTCCTTACCTAAGTACGATTCTGAACGCCAAAGCCGTCTTTTCCGTCCGAAGGAGGAGCTTAAGCAATGCGCGACGGAATCGACGCAAACCGTTGCCGCCAAGAGAGTGTTTTAGCTGTATTGTATAAGCTGTGGAATGGGGTCATGACCTATGCTAAGTTTAAAATTATTACTTAGAAGATTTCTAGCTTTATTGGGCTCAAATAGCATAAAGACAGATTTTTTTGAGTTTAATTTGAGATTATATGCTGACGATATATCATATAATTTTTTTAAATTTAGATTTATGATGTATTGAGCTTGTAAAGAATTTCCTTGGTTAAAAGACAAGTAGAGTTGCGAATCATCGGCGTAATGATGAATATGACAATTCTCTACAAATTGATAAAAATCTGAAATGTAAAGTGAGAAAAGTAGTGGTCCTAAAATGGAACTTTGTGGAACACCATACTTAACCAAAAGGGATTTTTCAAGATAACTTTTTAAAAGTTTAACGGCCCGTGCAGAAAATCCAAAATAGGAAAGATTTTTTATTAGAAGTTGATGATCAAGTGTGTCAAAGGCCTTGCTGTAGTCAAGCAGCACTAGACAAGTAACTTTTCCTTTATCAATTGAATTATATATATACTCAGTTACGTCTAGAAGCGCAGTAGTAGTGCTGTGACTAGAACGAAAACCCGATTGCGTAGCCGGAAAGATGTATTCTTCCATAAACTTGTTCATTTGTTCTTTTAAGATCATCTCTAATACTTTTGATAGAGTAGGCAGTATGCTAATTGGCCTAAGATCTGAGTGGGTAGTGGGATTGTTACATTTTGGTAATGGAATAACAGAGGCTCTCTTCCATTGCTCCGGGAACTGACTACTGGAGATACATGTGTTAAATATGAACGTTAAATGTTCTAATAAGAATTCGTCTACCAGGTGAATTAGTCTCAATGAAATATTATCTGAACCTACAGCGTTGCTTTTAATTTTGTAAAGATGTTTTCTCACTTGAGATGATGTAACGGGGAAAAATTGAAAAGTATTATCACTAGACTGCTTCTGATATCGATCAAGAAGATAAAGTTGGGGGTGAGTTTTTTGTGTGTGAGTAATGTTGGTGAAGTGAGAATTTATACTATCTGTATCCTTTAAATTATCAGGAAAAGAGGCAGTTGGTTTTCTCAAGATATCAAGAGATCGTAAGAGCATTCCAAGTAGATTTAGAATTTTTTTGCAGAAGTACAAAGTCTAAGTATGCTCTCATTTCACGACGAATTGCAGATGTGGTGTAATTTATGAGTTCTTTGTAGTAATTCCAGTGCACAATGGATTGAGTAGATTTAATTTTTTTGTAAGCTTTATCTCTAAGCTTCATCATTTCTTTGATGTTGTATGTTAGCCAGGGCGAAGGAGATTTACTTACTCTTTTGGTTACAATTGAAGCATGATAATCAAACAATTTAATTATGGTCATATTTAAAAAGTTTACCATTTCTTCAACATTATCCATGGCATATATGTTGCCAGGGTCAAAAGATGTAGATCGTGATTAAAAGCATTTAAATCGAAGTTAGAAAAATTTCTATATGTCACATATTTTGGCCTGCAGTCTTTTTTTAAAGAATCGATACTACATTAAATTGAGAAGTGATCTGAAATGCCGTGAATATCATAGACATGAATGTTAGAAATAAGATGTGGTTCACTTACAATTAAAAGATCAATAAGAGTAGAGCATGTTCTGGAGATACGAGTAGGCCTATCAATAAGTTGCTTTAAATTAAACAACTCAAGAAATTCATTAAGTAGTGTAAAAAGTCTATTTACGCACAAACAGTCAATATTAAGATCACCAGCTAGTATAAACAAATCACTTGTAGGAAGAAGATTTGATACGGAATCTTCTAGTTCTTGTAGACACTGTAAGATACTAGCTTTTGGTGGTCGATATACAACACCAAAAATATAAGTCTTATTGTCATAAATCACAGATATCCAAAATTGTTCTAAAAAATGGCTAATGTTTGAAAATATTTTATGATTAATTTTTTTGTTTATGTAGAATGCTAAACCACCGCCCCTATCATCTCGATCAGCACGAATAAGTGTGTACGAGTTTATATCCACAATCCTCGTTTCAATCTCATGTGACAACCAAGTTTCGCTTAAACCAAAAATATCAATATTTCTGCTAGTAATAAATTCATAAAGTCTGTTGAAGCCTGTGAAAATAGACCGTACATTCAAATGATAAAAAGAAACATTTTTATTCATAATAGTAATTTAAACAAATAATACTTAAGTGATACTCAAGGAGTGTTTAAGACCAAAAAAAGAAAAAACAAATATTGTAAATAAAAAGAGAAGATCCAAAAAGATATTTCTTATTATACTACTAATTTTAGGACATAAGAATAACACAAACTATTTTCTTTGAAGTTGTCGCTTATCTTTGTTTCGTAGACGATCAGTTATTTTATCCAGATCCTGTGGGTTACTACTTGGTCCAGAGGAACTGCTTGATTGTGTTAAACCTTCGGAAGTAGGAGGTCCAGAGATAATGGATAAACTTGCTAAAATATCGGGATTGGTATTTAACTCTTCTAATGTGTATTTTTTGTTATTTACACACAAGCGATTATTTTTTATAAATATTTTTAAACCGTTTTTCTTTCCAGTATTCAGATGTTTTCTTAACTCCTTGTGTAACAGTTGGTCCTGTGAATTTAGGTCATCGGCAAAGAAAATGTGGGAGTTTTTAAGTTTGTTAAGATTTTTTAATACTTGACTTTTCTTTAGGTTAGACAAGAAATCGATTTTTAATCTTTTTATTATTTTTTGAAGTAAACAGGTTTATAAAATTTAAATCTTGAAGTCCCAAGTTAATTTCAAGTTTACTTGAGAGAAATGTGAGCGCGTCTACGCAGTTGAGTTGATTCTCCAATCCAAAAACCACAATACTGTTATTACGTACTTTACGATCTAACTCAAACACCTTAGCTTTTAGGGCAATATTTTCTTTCTCAAGATTGTTGTTTCTATTACCGACGTTCATCAAGATTTTGTCCAGATTCCATATATTTTCTTCTTCTTTTAACACATGCTCGATTGTCTTTTGCCAATTTTCCTTCGGAACAAGTGATATGGAGGTTTCTAACAATGCTTCTACATCGTTTAACTTAAATGTTGTATTATATCGACCTACATATCCTTTAACTTGTGCCCATATCAGTTTAATAGAATTTAGTTTGCAGTGATAAGGAGGAAGACACACAACATCAATACCATGTGTTTTTGCAACTTTATCCACTACATAACGTACTGAAGGCTTATTTAATTTCTAGAAGTTCTGTTTTTATTGATTTTTTAGGAAAGTTAATGTTTCTGTATGTTAGCCATTTAATGATATCATCTTTCTTCCATGAAGTATTGTCAAATTTAAAAATGAAGGTACCTTAAACATTAAGCCATTTGATGAACCTATAATTAGTTTTTTAAGTTTTACCATTCACTTTTATTTTTCCTCAAAGCATAGAAAATCCACTTTATCCTCTAAAAGGGTAAAGTCGATTAACAAACATTGAAAAAAAATTATCTAATTTTTTAATTTTTGATCAAGAAATCCATCAAAAAAATAGAAAAATGCTTCTTTATTCAGTTTTCTTTTACAGCCATGGGTTGCTATAACTAAATAAACTCAACAAAAACTATAAATAGAAAAATATAGGAACAAAACGACCACAACATAGGTATTCTTTACAGGTAGACAAATTTAGTCGAAACTTAAATAAAATTCAACATAAATTTAAAATTTTTAGCTGTATAAACAAAACTTATTCTAGAAGATCTTGTTTTTTTTTCGCTTAAATGATAGGTGTGCTTTCCACGTTTTTCTCCTGTCAAGTTAACTTTCCTTTTAATCTGCTCAAACGCAATTATTGAGAAGTCCAGAATTTGCGGATACACAAAAAATACATCTTTGTTTGAGTCCTTCATGTGCATTGTATAAATGGTTAGTTCTTCTTCTGAGATAGTTCCAATCTTGGCAATAAAATGTCTGTCTCTTTGTTGGTTTTGAATTTTACTAATACGTAGTCATTTACGATGAAAACTTCATAATTTTGCTCTTCTGTCAATTTTTTGAAAAGGGTAGAAGGTTCTCCTATTTCGTAATCTTCTGTGAATGACTTCTCTGATTCCGAAACCTGTAAATCCGACACTTATATTCTTATTTTTAGCTTCTCCATGTTCGTCTTCTGATTTGATGTCACTTTTCTCCCGTCTCTGCCTCCTAGTTTTGGTGTTTTGTAATGTAGATCTGGATTCAGCTATTAACAGATCCGATGTCCCTGTGTTCTTTTTTAGAGATACATTTAGTTTTTTCCTCGTTTAACAGTCTTTCTTGGACCCGTCCGAAGTTGTTCAAGATGATCTACCAAAGCACCTGTCCGTAATGTTTCAAGTGTTTCGTCAATTACTTTACGTGGGATTTTCTTTAGTACAGCATCCGGATTGAACGGAACGATATCATATGCCTTAAACCCTGCAATAGAGTTTGCTTGAGATTTGAGACCCACAGAATTCGTAGCCTCCTTGAGAAGTTTTGGAAATAAAGTTTTGAGAAGTACTTCCATGTTTCTAATGCTTTTTCCATTCCGCCTTAAGAGGTCGGAAGTAAGCTACATCTAAAGGTTGTAGCAGGTGTGTCGAATTGGCAGCAGGACAAACCTAATATTGTTATTTTCGCATTCCTGTATAACGCTGAAGATGTCGTGGCTACTCAAATTATCTCCAACTAGAACTTTACCTCCTTCTATCTTCTTAAAATGCGGCAAAATAATAGAATAGAACCAGTCTTCAAAGACGGTGGAATTAAACCACCCGCTGAGAGTGCGATTGTATCTGACCCCTTCTATACCCCCTTCAGTCCATCTCACATACGAACGTTTTTCCTTATAGACAATGTATGGTGGAAGCATCGTGCCATTTCTTGCTATCGTAAACATTACCGTTGTGCTAGTTTTCGTGCTATCTGTGGCCCTATGTGCATGCTTGGTACCCTTTTTTAAGACGACTTTCACAGCGCCCGGGTCATCTACGAAATTTCATCATAATTGATTAATGGAATATCCTTCACATTTTTTAAATTTCTAAAATAATCTGCCACTAACTCGTAGCTTACCGCTGCTCGAACTCGTTTTGTATTTTCTGCCAGTTTTATAGTGATATTGCTATTTCGCTTCATGAAACCATTGAACCAGTCTGTTCCAGGTAAGTTATCTACAAACCTTGGTTCTATCACCCCACGCTTCGTAAAATATTGCCTGACAATGTTTGATGTCGATCGGCTTTAAGGGGAAACCTCAATTGGGGCAAAGTTGCAGGCCTTCAGCTAACATTTTTTCTTAATTTTCATCTACAGCGGATGGTCTTCCATACTTGAACGGATGTCGTCCATGATAATGATCATTGATGGTCGAGTAAGGGATGGCAAATCGCCCTCATCGACATATTTTTTGTTTCACTGCCGCAACTGCCCTCTGAAGGAATTTCTTATTATAATTCTTTTTCCCCCGAGGTCCAAACTTTTTTTGATAGTGCCGAGGCATCTGAAAACAAATAAACAGAGTTAATATAGACATAAAATGACTCTCTCACTAAACAGGAAATCGTCATATGCTTGGCAACACTGTACAGGTCGTTTACTGTACGTTAGTTCACTACACAAATAAATGTATCCTAAAATATTACTTTTGAAATTAAAAAGTATAAACATATTTGTAATAATAAATGTTTATGTTATTCAAAACATTCTTCTGTGGCTTCTTCTTTCTGTCTAATTCATGCATGTCGTCCATTTTGCGTCGTAGTTGGATTACATAATCTTCACTGGCTATGTCTTTCCAGGTCGACATCCAAACTCGAGATCGCACGGTAGTCTCATCTGTTGTTTAATTGTCAGTGGATGTACAAGTATTAGAAATTAAAAATTAAAAAAAACCGACTTCAAAAACGTGCAGATGCCATCACTACATCTTAACTAAATTTATATGGGACCACCCCTGAGGTACCCCCTTGCTAAGTACCCCCTTGCTAAGTACCCCCTTGTTAAGTACCCCCTTGCTAACAAAAAAAGAATCATGTAAATCGGACAAGGTGGTAAAGCATTATCGCTAAACATACATAAAAAATGAAGAGTTTGAGGATTTTCTCATGGACCCAATTATTAGATTTTGACCAAATTTATATGGGACCACTCCTGAAGTACCCCCTTTCTAACAAAAAAAGAATCATATAAATCGGACAAGGTGGTAAAGCATTATCGCTAAACATACATAAAAAAATGAAGAGTTTGAGGATTTTCTCATGGACCCAATTATTAGATTTTGACCAAATTCATATAGGACCACTCCTGAAGTACTCCCTTTCTAACAAAAAAAAGAGTTATTGAAATCGGACACCATGTTAAAGAATTATTGCTGAACATACATAAAAAAAAATATCGCGACGAATTGATAACTTCCTCCTCTTTTGAAGTCGGTTAATAAGCCATTGCAAAGAGCGAAAGATACTGATCCCAATCGCACTGATGGTTTAAAACCATTTTTGATAGATATTTTCCAATAGCTCATTCGCTTTACCATTTTATCGGATTGTAGGTGCAATGCTGTGGTTTTGGTTTTCTTCATGCCTAGTCTGTCACAGATTTCAGGGAAGAGTTGGCTTTTAAAATTTCTACCTTGGTCACTGTGGATCTCCAAGAGCACTTCAAATCGACAGATAAACTCTTTTATCAATACATCTGCAACAGTTGCTGCCTCTTTATTTGGAATGGCGTAGACTTCCACCCACTTTGTAAAATAATCTACAACCACCAAAATGTATTTAATACCATCTTCAGTCACGGGGAATGGTCCAGCAATATCTAAGGAGATCCTCTGAAATGAGCTACCAACATTGTAATGCTTCATAGGAGCCTTCCTTTTTTATTGAGGTCCATTACTCATAGCATGGGTGGTACATTTCTTGTACCAGTCCTTTGCATCATCGAAACTGTTCATCCAGTAAAACCTTTCATGAACTCTCTGAAGGGTTTTCTTAACACTGAGATGTCCTCTTGATGGACTGCCGTGTAACTAACGAAGTAGTTACTTCAGTCTTTGGAGTGACCAACTGTCTTCTGTTTTCGGAATCATCATCATTATCTAGTACTCGCTTTAATAAGCCTTCTTCTAGAATAAAAGAGTCTCACTGAGCCCAATATGATTTAACTACTGGAGACTTTCGATACTTCTTGCGAAGTAAATTGACGATTTTCCACTTTTCATTGTCTTATCTTCTTTAAAACGGGATCGTTCTCTTTTTCTTCCCTAAGTTTGACACTTATTGCTGACAACCAACGTTCTTTGTACTGTAACTTCTTTAGTAGATGTGGCCAATCCATTTCCAATCAGAGTTCCTTGACCAACACCTTCATTGCGCTTCGAAGGTTTCGCCATGACAGGTGTGGCTTTCTCTACAGTTTCTTGCAATCGCGTTACTTTTATGGTTGCACTTCTTTCAGGCAACACTGTTTCTTCATGTACAGCG